CAGGTGACCCTGGGGATCTATGAATATTGCTGCTTTAAAAGACTTTCTTTTCAAGAATACCTTTCCTCTGCTAATTTGAGAAATGTATATTTCTGATGTATTGCAGATTAAATATGAGATTTCTCGATTGCGCAGACAGTTTGGTGCAGCAGTAACATTTACCGATCGAAATGCTTCCAATGTGAAAGATGGCTACATTGAATGTACATCCTATCAGGATAAAAATTTCAGCATTAAACAGCTTGAAAGAGATGTTGGGGCACAGTTTGTTCCAAAAGTAAGGGAAACAAGTACTCAGACAAAATGGTAAGCGTAAGACGGACTGCCAATTCTTTTAGCACTGTTTATAAAGGGAAACAATTTCTTTGTTTGCTTACACCCTGATTCCAATCTCACATTTATGCAAATCAGAAATACCTGCACTGGAATCAAGGGGGTTATAGAGTTGTAAATGCAGTGAGGGTACAGAATTTGGCCATCTGAAAGTTCATTTTGCAGACATTTTGTATTTACCCACCTCTCCCTTTTCTACAAAGCAGGATCAATCCAAGTCTCTCTACCAGTGTTAACAAACGTTAACATATTTAGTTTTTAATTTTGTGAATTATATATGGTTTACTTTGAAAAAATATATAAATTAACAAATGTGACTTTTTTTCTTAAACTGCTTAGGACTTACCCAAGAAATGCAACAACCCAATATTTTCCTAGAGAGTTCTCAAATGAAGAAAAAGAGCAGTGTTTATCATCTGACGATCTGAAAAAATTTATTACCTCAGTGTTCTTACGGTAAAAACATTACAGTAATGTTATTTAAGGGTTACCTAACAGTAATGAAGTATATATAACTATATAATAGACACTGCTATATACTTAGTTTTAAAACAAACAGGTACAAACCTAACACAAAAATGTAAGTTCAGATGCATGTATTCCCAATCAATACACTTAAGGTGTTATGCATTACAAAAGATCATTTGAAATGTCTAACACATTAGTTACATGCTAAGCCATGCAATTAAAAGCTTTCTTAATGACAATTTTTCAACCATCTGAAATTTAAAGCATAAATCCCTTTTACTATTTTGCCTTAACCTGCATTTTTGCTATTCTAAAAATAACAACAGTGTTATTGTGTAACTGTCCAGAAGAGGGCTTTAACACCTTCCTCTGAGATATAAGGCATCCATGTGTGTCAGAGAAAAGATAGTTCTCTAGAGCACCATTTCTCAACTTGTGGGTCACAACCCAAACGTGCTATGCAAGAATATATGAAAGGATCGCAAACAAACTTTAAAAATAGATCAACAAACTTTTCAAATAGATTCTCCTTTAAAGGAGAAAAACGTGGGAAATGGTAGCTTTTCCTTTGTGAGTTCCAGCCTGTAAAGGTTGCATGAGGCCCCCCCACTCCACACACCTACCCCCTTCCCACACACTGGGGGGCAGGGGACAGTGGGTTGGGAGTGAGGGGCACTGAGTCGGGACTGACCATCGATGTTTACAAATGGGTCCTGATACAAAAAAGGTTGAGAACCACTGCTCTAGAAGGACTCATGGAATAAATCTGGTATTGCAGTCCCTGTACTTTTATATACACTTCCTTCCTAACTTTAAAAAAAAAACCTTAGATGATTCTGTAATAGTATTTTGGAATCACCTGTATTTCCATGAGGAAAAAAGTTCTGTAGTACATCCATTTCCATAGTAAACAAAGGATTATGGACCAGCTCTACAGCTAAATAAGCATAGTAATATTAAAATTAGTGGAGTAATATCTAGCCATTTAGTAGACATTTAGTTTCTTCTGGAAGAGTTGCTGCTTTCCCAGGAGAAACCACAAGCATTTAGACATTCAGGATTTTTCTCCAGGAGAAAAAAAACCTGGGAACAACTAGAGTGAAATCATTCCTAAGAAAGTTTCTCCTGGGAGAGTGAATGTCTGTACATATTCTCTTCTGAGAGAAACAACGTAGCAGTTCTCCAGCATACCAGGTTGCTTTGCTCTCCCCCACTCAAGGAGACTATGTTGCTTGCTGGATTCTACTGCTGCAGCTGAGCAGAGAGCAAAAGACACCCCTTCACAATCCCCACATTGTGTTGCAGGGAGTCACAGGCTGACTCTGAGCAGTCTTGATCAGCAGTCAGGGCTACCCTCTGCACTGCTGCCATCTGTCTCCAGGCAGACTGAGGGAGTCTGCAGAGCACTTCAAAATATGTGCACAGGGGACCCCTGGCTGCACAGTGTCAACACAGCAAGCTCTCTGTTCTTCAAGGGCTCAGCATTCAAATGTCTGTTCAGGTGTCTCTGGGCAAGTTTTTCTACCAGGAACACAAACCTGGGAGAATTCTCCCAGGTAATTTGAACATTTGTATACAGCCTCTATTTATACCAGCTAAGGATTATTGCTATGACTTCTCTGCTGTATTAAGTAAAGCAAGAAGCTAAATTATGGGGGTGCTGAGAGGCATGGGGAAAAAAACAACCCAGAAAACCACACTTTACTGGAAGCAGCAGTGCATTAGTTTGATCCGGTTCTGCAGCATATGTATAGATCAGATGCTTCACTGGAGCTTTTTGGCCCTTTTATCTAATAGCTGATATAATCTATATTATATCTAATATAATCAGCTATTAGATAAAAGCACCTAAAAACCTCCACTCAAGTGCCCAGTCTATACAGACATTGAGAAAGTTGGGTACAGCTAAGGCACCGCCTCTTCTGGGCATGCACTAGTCTTGGCGCAGGAACACAATGAGTTTAAAGTAAAGGACCATTTGGGGGAGGGGTCCCTCCTCATGTCTGCAAGCACCCTGAGTGTCCAGTCCTACAGCTCTTATGCACACGGGTTGACTCACTGAATTTATTGAGGCTTGTTATTTACAAAATCATAGCAGGGTGGAGCAATACACTTCAATAGTCTGATCCAAATCTCACTGGAGTCCAGGCATAAACTGGAAATGGAACATTACACTGAACTGAAATCCAGTCCTCTGCATTCACAAGCAACCTGTTACCCAGGAAACCCCAATATCACCACTTCAAACCCTCACACATAAGTACAGTGCTCCATATCAGAAACACCAAGAGCAACCAGTGCAACTTGATCCACCAGTAGATCTCAGAGCCTCTTGTGGTAGCTCTTGGAGCCTCTTGGAGTATCTGAGGCTGGGGTGGGGGGATGAGTTCCCATGTGCATGCACATGCATGCCTCAGCCCAACAGTCTGTGGGGGAAGGAAGGATGGAGCTACATCGAGGCCCCTGCGGTGAGGGACAGTGCCGCAGAGGCAGGAGCAGGGGGTAAGTTGAGTGGGACCCCAGCTGGGTGGGACTTACCTGCTTGGGAGGCATGCCCCCAAATAATTTTTTCTCCCTCTGCCTCAATCTGTCCCTCCCACTTCCCTTCCCACGGACTTACCTGCTGGGTACGGCAGGGGAGGGGTGGTGGGGGAGGGGTGGTGGCAGAGCACAGTAGATCTTGGGTTGCTTTTAAATGCCAAAGGTGTTCTACTTAAAAAGGTTGGAGACCACTGACCTAAAACATGATATAGTAAAGGCAGAGGAGATGACAGCACTACCAGCACCCTGCCACTGCAGTGATAGGGAATTAGTTGGTTAATCTATGCTCACAAATTCCTAGAAAGACTATGATGCTTCCTGCTACAGGGGAAGGCAAAAACTCTTGCAGTTGCTGCCAGTGATGCTGGAGGAACTGCCTCTTATTGTTCTTAAACGTCCCCTCTGAGTCAAATCTGAGTACGCACAGAACTCTAGCAAAAAATGTACTTAAGTGTGTTTAAAATGAGAAAGGCTGTCTTGAGGGTTGTGACCAGTCATTGGGTAACCTTAGTACAGGGGTCAGCAACATTTCTGGGCAGCATGTCAAAAACACCCACAACCTCAACTTGTAAGATTTTGGTGTGCCAGGGATGGATGGTGGGAGAGCCATGAGGGGCCCAATCTTTCTTGTGGCAACACAGACCCAGCCACTTCCCTGCCATCTGCTTGGAGGCACGTGTGTACTGGCTGCCAGGCCGCAGTTCCATGGACCATATTGAAGCCTCCCAGCTGACTGCCACAATCAGCCCAGGCTCTGGGCAGGCCCCTGAAGCCTACCACGGAGCCCAGGCTGCTCACAAGAGGCAGCGTGGAGGCTCTAAGTGGCTGCATCAGGGTCCATGGAGACATGGCCTGGCTTATCACCAGCAGCAGGTGCACATGTGCCTCGAAGCAGATGCAGGGAAGGGGCCAGGGCTGTCCTGCCACAACAAGGATTGGGCCTCGGACCTCCCCTGCTGTCCGTCTCGGGGCTTGCATGCCAAGCAAATTGCTTTCATGTGCCACACTCTGACACACATGCCAGAGGTTACCTACCCCTGCCTTAGTACATATCACCCTGAGGGATGTATTCATACTTGAATGAAATAAGTCTTTTTACTGAAATAGTAATTATGCCATTGACTATATCGGACCTGGAATGTTTGAATATGAGTATGTTAACTATTCTTTTTCACAAAACAGAGTGGAAATAGCATTGCAGCAAAATGAAATAATGAATGCTTTTTTTGATGACTGGAAAGCACTAGCAGAAGATGAAAGCAGTTTTGGTGGCAAGTCAGATGCTTACCTTAAAGAATACCAATCATTTACAGACCTGCACTCTCTGAAGAACAGAACCGTTACCTGTATTGGCTGGCACCCAACCATTTATGGTAATGATTATAAAGTAGTTGGGTCATGCTTGAAATGACATTTGATATTACTTAACAGTCTTAAAATTTAAAATCTTTATGAATTTATCAGCCGTTAAATTAAAAATTTACTTAGTATTTTTGTGCAAACCACTGATTTGAGAGGAGATGAAAATGATAGGTATGTCATGGAACTTAAAAGGGTAATACATTACAGGCCACATAGTCCTTCCTACAAGTAAACAGTAGGTGGTTAGAGGAAGGAAATCCCCCACTTGTGAGGCCTGTTTAACTGAGCTGCAACTATACTCCCTGTGATCTAATGCAACTTCACATGATCCATTGCTTCTAGGGTCAAATTAAAACATAGGCAAACTAGGCATATGACTAGGGCCCTGAGCTGTGGCGGGGCTTTGGTCCTTTTTTCTGCAGTGGCAGCATAAATGGTATCCACTGGCCTCATTGCACCATGGCTGCTTCCTAGGAGCGGCTCCAAGCCCCACTCCCCACAGGCGACAGCACTGAGGTGGGGAAGGGGGTCTCGACTGGCCCAGGACCCTCAAATTGTTTGCCTAGGGCCCACTAGAGGGTTCATTTAGCCTCTCTTGCTTCAAGGTGCAAATTACTGCTGTACAACGGTGGGCAACATGCAAATAGCCAACACTGCAGGCTGCAGAGAATTTATCTTCTAAGTACAACTACAAAGGAATTAGTTGTATAATGCTGGCCAAGAGCACAGCTAGGCTGTCCTAGTATTCCAGCTTCTGGATTACAATTTAAGAACTGTTAGCCAAAATTAAATTCTTTGTTGGTCTTGAGGTTCTACAACTGAAATGATAACAAATTTAATCTTCATTTATAATTAAAAATATTGCTTTAAAGAAATTATTGGAAAAAAAATTGCAATTGGAAAAAAAGGGCATCTTTTTTTGCTCCTTTATGTTGTTTAAACAAGGATAGATACTTAAATCCTGCCCTCCCCTCTCACCTTCCGTCACTTGTAACACAATAATTAACCGATCCATTAAAACTCCTGGTGGGCCTGTTACTTTTTAGCGCTAAAAAAACTCCATAGATAATGAGGTTTTCTTCTTAATCAGGGATTATAGCAGTGTCAGTGACAGAAAGACTTACTTATGAAGATCGAGTTAACCTATCTGGTAAACTGCTACTGTGGAAGTCATTGATCCTTTTCTGGAGTTTCTCTGACCCTATTCACCCTCAGGTATTTAAACAGAATTTCAAAATATTCCGAGTTCTCAAACAATGAAGAAACAATATTGCCAATATGACTATATTTCTAAATTGATTATATTATTTTCTAGTTACTGCTGGAGTGCCCTGAAGATATTTTCTGCTTTCAGTTCTGTCCAAGTGATCCCAATATCATTGCTGGAGGCTGTATAAACGGACAGGTGTTTATTCATCTCTCAGTTCTGTTATGTTTTATATGATTTGTTTTAGCTAAATTTTATTTATACAATTTTAATTTTCTGCATTTTGCATCTACATTGAACATTCCTCACTGATTTTTTGATTACCCCAGTTACAGCTTGGGCACAGCTTTCAGCTACTGGAAAGCCGCACTGGGGCTGGGCAACCTGCAGGTGTGCCACTCTGCAGCTGCGTATGGGGAAGGGAGGACAGGGAGAAGCAGCAGCAGCGCTGGTGCAGCTCCCAGATTTCTAGCCCTGGTACAGATGTGGATATGGGGAAGGTCCCCTGCTGATAACGTGCTGCCAAAGCCACCCAGGCCACTTTGGATGAGAGCCAGGTTGTTCCAGCTATTGGCTTGCTAAAAGGTTGATGGCCTGTGGCTTTGACTCTACTTCCCATTCCTCACCCATTTCTGATGGAACCATGATTTCCAATGGTGTCACTTTCTTTGTGGTTCTGTAGCTGTGTCTGGGTCTAAGTTTCTTTTGTGGGAGAGGTTTAAACCACAGAGTTATTGCATTAAAGATAATGCTGACAGGATAGTCTTTATTGTATTTGAGGAAATTCTCCATATTTTGGCAACTTCTTATACAGTGGTCCTTCCTAGCATACTCATTTGTGTTTTTTTGCTTTTTACCATTATTTTGAGTACTTTGTATGGATTAGCATCAAACATTTCCTTCATAGAATTGCATCATAAAATTGCCACTAATGTATTCCTGTGTAATATTATTCCTAAAGTCCCAGAACCACTGAAAGGGATCTGAGATCCAGATCACTAAAAGGGACCCAGATATCTCTCAAATCCAAATGGCGAGACGAAAAAGAAAAAGGAAAGCTTCAGATCCATCCAGGTTTCTTGGACCAATAGTATTTTAATGTCCATTACCACAGGCATCAGGGCACTTTAGATGTATGAGGCTGCTTGTACTTCATTATAATCACTGAGACTCTGGCTTTAGATGATAAGTGCTTCCCATCTTTAGGCTGCTACTGCTGTTTTAGAGAGAAAGTGCTATAATTGGTCACACCTGCTCTTTTACTTAATAAAATATATATGGGGGAGAACAGGGGGAGAACACAAATAATCCAAGAGAAAAATATATTTTTATACAACACAATTAATCTGTGGTATCCAAAGCTATTTCATACAATTAGAGTTCCAAAAAAGAATCAGGCATTTCTGTGGACAAGGAAGTTTGTTTCCCAACTCTCACTGGTTTGTAGCTGGTTTGTGGAATATTAATATCTCATTGAAATGCTTTATCTTATTGTAGATGTTGGCATTCTCCACATAAGGGTTTAGTCCTTGTTTGATCCCTTTAAAGTGATATCATAGGTACTTGCTTATTCCCTACCAGGTCAGACAAGGGCCCACTAGCCTATTTCCAATAGCACCAAGTAGTGGATGCTTCAACAGAATGATATAAGAAATTGAGCACATGTAAAGTTAACCGTTCTGTTATGCCTTTTCAGTTATCAACACTCAGAGGTTTAGGGAGGTCCTCTACCTGAGGATGTCTCTCTGATGGATTAGACAAATTTATGAAGGATAAGCCCATTCTTAAACCTGGTTATGTTCTTGGCCTCTACAACATCCTGTGCCAGCATTCACAGTTTAAGGGAACATTTTGAAAAACTAGATAGATGCCCCAATCAATAATAGTTTGATATTGGTCTTATGCAATGTAGTACATGTACTAGACCTATACAATGGACAGCATGTAGACATGCAGAGGAATAGCTTAAAAGACCTTTCCTGTTCTGGCACAATAAATAGATTTCTTTCACAATGCTAGATGCATATTAAAAGTATTTGTTAGTGTATCATTTACATTACTTAATTATATCCATTTTCAACATAGGTTGCACTGTGGGACATTTCTGAATACGAAGAGAAGCTTCAAAATGCTAAAACTGGAGCTGGTGGAAGCAAGAATACTGCTGTTAATATGGTCAGTGCTTCAAATTTATTTCAGGTCTATATTTAGTGCTTCACAGACTATCACTGTGGAGAAAGAAAAGGAAAAAAGATCAAGTCAGAAAAGATATAGGAGAGGGGATCAAAGTGTAACACAAGGGAATCAGTAGCCCCAAAACAAGGCAGTAGGTCAGTGATTCTCAGCCAGAGTGGTGTGGCACCCTGGGGTACTTCGAGATCTTTTCAAGAATGCCATGCAATTTTAGCAATGTTAACACTGCGTGTACAAACACAATTCTTAAGATAAAACCAGAGATTTCAAATAGTAACCCATAGTGTTAAAAGCATTTTGACCTGTTGTAGTCTTTCTGAGTGCTTTACAACAGAAGATATTGCTCTTTTATTTTTCTGTTGTCAAAACACGAGTAAAAACTAAGAGCTGGCATGTTCCAAGAGGTGGTGAGTCCAGTGAGGGGAACCCTGGGTCCCCACTGCCTGAGAACTGCTGTGAGATGTAGTGCCTTGTACCTAGATTCATGAGAGGTAATTAATAAATAAATAAACCTCTGTCAAACTTTTATAATATACATCAACCTGGTTCAATAGCACTACTCTAATTTATACAGACCAGAACTACAAGAGAGCATTGTTATTTATTGACCAGAATCACAAAGTTTACTGACTAGATCAAATATAATACAAATCAATTCTTGTATTTAAGTAAACACAGTCAAATAAATAATTGTGCAAATTATAGAGAAAGATTCAAAGGATGCAAAGAAGGTGATTTTGCTCTCACAGAATGCTTAGTGGGGTGGAAAGGCATGGGAATGGAAAGATGATACACAGAGGGTAAAAAAGAAGGGAGGCCCAAGGACAGAGTACAGTGACAACGCTAGGATGAAGGTGGGTAGAGATATGAATGCACTGTGGAATTCTTTTTTACAGTATGGCATGTCTGTTGTAAGCTAATTGAAGTCTAGATTGAAGGCACTTGAAGTCAGTGAGCTTTGGATCAAGCCCCTGGAAATTTCTAGACTGCACTAAATTACAATTAAGGGTCATAAAAAACATGCAAAGTTTCCTTTCCTTGAAAACCAGATTTTTGTATTTTTTAAAACCTTCTCTAGCCTTCATTTATACAAGCACAACAAAGTGGTAAGGAGCCACATTTTGTGAGATACTGCGCAGTCTCTTCCATAGAATATGGCCATAAAGCAGTAGTAACAGATATACATTGGCTGCCAGATTATTTTGAGGTGAGTTTGTTTTAATATTTCCCTATATATGTTTGTTACGTATTGCAAACCGCTAATTCAAAAATGACAGAAACTGCAGATAAAATGTTAAAAGATGCAATTATTTATAGTATTCTTTGTGTTAGTTGCCCTCAGGATTTCTGACTGAATATCAGAATGCCAAATAATGCAAATCACTTCCCTTATGCTTGCTATACTTTGATTGTGCTCTAAGCAGTTAATGTAGTTGATTGTACTGTAAAGCATCTTTACTCAGAATTATAATTATATTCTTGATGGTTTGACATTTACAGTTAAAATTTCCTAATACATGGTCATTTTCTTCTTTGGGAATTTTCACACAACAAAACTATAGAGCTTTTTCTACTCATCTAAGTAGCCATTTGCTTTCAGAGGGAGTGCCGGTGTGAAAAAGCTGAATAGGACTTGGTCTATTAAGTGTTAAAAGAATGGCTGCAATATTACTGCAACAGCTGATAAACAGATATAGCCAGTGAGGTGGAAATAACCATTTTTCCCCAAACAAAGGCTCCATTGTATAAATATGTTTTTATATAGTGGAGATTAGGTTGGAAAATAAGTTTAGAGAACATCTCAGGGATCAACAGTATGTATTATATCAGCAGCACATTTTATTCTGTTCCTTATTTCTCTAAGCAACTTTAAACAAATCTGATATGCTGTTCTGCTCTAAAAGTAAAAATTAAGTGATCAGTTAGGAGAAAGCAATTACTGGGAAAAACACCAAAGCCCAGCATGCATAAATTAAATTATTTATAATTACTGTAAACAGGGGTCATTTGAGATGCATCTTTCCAATTATAATTTCACAGTGTGGCCTGAGGATAGGGGACTGAAAAACAGACCCAGAAGACATGGATTCTAGTCTTCTATGTAAACTAGAGAAAATCCCTTCACACGTCTGAGCCTCATAATTATACTGACCTCCTTAACTGAACTCAAAGCACTTCACTACTATATTCTTAGTTGTTTGCAATTCATTCCTTGATGAGTTACTTAAGCAGGGTAAAATTTAGAAGATGAGGCTGACTGAGTACTAGAACAGTAAATTATTTGAGTGTTGATAGCTTGATTTTTTCAGTGACAATTTTTCTTCTGCAGTTGTAAGCACTCAACTGCAGAAGCCCCCAAAAATCAAGTCCAAAAAAAAAATCAATGCATTAGCAATCTGCTTGAAATACATTGGTTTGCTTAAATGTATTTTGCATTATTGTTACATCAACTGGCTAATGAGCCTTGATTTGTAGCACAGCATACAATACAGCAGAAGGTAAATTTCTTTCTTAATGCCCATTTTGTATGGGGCAAGTTGTAGTTCAGTAAATAACAATTTGCTGCTTTTTCCCCTCCTCATTCACTTCTTTACTACTTTCTAGGTCAACAAAATGGGCCTTACTTTTGAAAACAGAGCTGGAGTGTGTGTGCAGCTTGTAACCTGCTCTGCGGACTGGTATTGTATTCTAAAAAATATTCCCCATATAACCACAACACACTCGTGTAACTCCTTCAAAAAGCTTTCTAAATATAACTTAATTTTTCTCTCCGTAATGTTCAATCACTAAGTTCCATGGGATAACACGGGATAATGAATTCCTAACAAAACTATCCTGAATATGTAAAATCCATCCTAGTGTGTCAGCACAACAAAACCCATTTCACATAGGCTTCACAAAGGGGCTACAAGCTGCTAGCTGTGGTGTGCTTTCATGTACCATTTGCGTCAGGAAAGTTGCTGTTCCTCTGTAAATTGACCTGGATGGCTGCAGAATTGCATTTATGCCAATTAAATTGATCCATCCCAAAAAACTGCTACAGAAATTAAAGTGAAGTTTACAGCGTACACTTTTGCTGGTGCAGTAGTGTAATTTATAGATACCATTTAAAAACCATTTCTATACCAGTAAAGCCTTTTGGTAGACATAGTTATATCCCCAATGAGTCCTTTTGCTGGTATGATTTATGCTGGTTACAAGAACAAAATATGCCACAGCAGCAAAAACGGTCTTGCTGTTATAAACCATTACGAATATTTTTCTGGAGTAGACTAAACAGTCTATTAAACAGTCCTGTGACACGAGGCAAAGGTTATCTAGAAGCCAAATGAAAAGAGTAGGATTAAATAGTCAAGTTTCTTCACAGAAAAAAAAATGTGTTAACAGTGGGTTCTTTCACAGTTCCAGAGTACATCTCATACTGTATTATATATTCATTATCAGGAATGGGAGGCAAATGTGAGGAAGTAAAATTTGCATATGACAATTATTTAGATTTAAAAAAAGAAAAGACTGAAGAACTTCAGGGACCTAAACAACTTAGGAGATAGGGCAACATGATGGCAAATGAAATTCAGTGCTGATTTATGCAAAATAATGCTGGGTTCGAAATTAACTGTAGCAACTTACTAAAAGGACATAGGAGTTGTAGTTAGCTCAATGAAGACCTTAGCTTAGGTGCACCTATAGTTTTAAGGAGTAACTAGGAATAACAGACACAAGTTGATTGAGAGTAGGTTCAGGCTAGACATCAGGAGGCACTACTTCACAGTCAGGGCAGCTAGGATCTGGAACCAGCTTCCAAGGGAAGTGGTGCTCGCTCCTACCCTGGAGGCTGGATTATCACCTAGCCGGGGTCATTTGACCCCAGTACTCTTTCCTGCCCAGGGCAGGGGGTCGGACTTAATGATCTGCTCAGGTCCCTTCCGACCCTACGAACTATGAAACAACTATGAAACTATAAGAAAAGGAACCAATATGTTAGGTTCTATAAGGAACGTAACAGTAGCAAGGAGGGTATTATTATACGCTGTTTACATTGAGGGCGTGGCTTTATCTGGAATAATTTTATGCATTGCAGGTTACCTCATTTAAAAATATTGCAGAATTAGAAAAATTCTTGATAACTCACAAGAAAAAAGATTAGGGCTTTTTACCTTAGAAAACAGGCACATATGATAGCACATGATAAATTACATGAAAAAATGAATAGCCTGGAGGAGGTATATCGGGAATTCCTATTCTCCCACTTTTGTAATTTAAGACCATAGGAACATTCAAGAAAAATGAAGGAGGTGGCAAATTCAGAAAAGTTTAAAGGAAATACTTCTTAAAACTTGAAACTCTTGGTGACAAGAGAAAATTTGTTCAAGAACTTAACTAGAATTTGTCTAGTCCCTCTGATTTTCCCTTTTTTATGCTACTGCCTCTACCACCTTCCTGTGACAATGAATTCCACAAGTTAACTATGCATTGCATAAAAAAATACTCTATATATTATTTCTATGGAGACCAAATAACTGCAGGTGAGGGGATTTCATTCTGTTAGAATGTGGCTGTATTAAGCAAATAGTGTGATGGTTATGTAGCTATGTTAACATGTTAACAGATTGAAAATGAAATACTGAATAACTATGAGCTACTGTTTATGAATAATATAGCTACAAACTAGTTTACCATTTCTGCATTTCTCAACTCTTTTATCTTTTGCTATACTAAGTTCAAAGATAAAAGGTCCAAACCTAAGGTGTAAAATAAAAGCTTACCAAAATGTTCAAAAGACTGTTTTTTTTCAGCTTGATATTGTTTTGGGATATTCGAGCTCCCAAACTGAATGTGCAGGCTTCATCTGAGAAAACAAAAGAAGAGAAAGCAATTGAGGCACCCCCTGATGTCCCTACTACTTTTACACATTTAGACCTCAGTTGGAGACCTCTCATGAAGGTACTATATACAGATATATTGTGGAGGAATGAAGCAAGACTGTAAATTTAAAAAAGCTATGGTTACATCTCCACAACAAGGTATTTTTCTCTCTCTGCCATAGATGCCCTGTAATCTTTCAAAGCATTCTGATTTTTCCCCTGATTTTTTTTGCAATTAATGGAGGGAAAATTATTTGTCCTTCCTATAACTTTCCCTGTATAATTTCAACAGAGCAGGACAGATTTACACACTTAACTCACAAGAACTTTAAAATGATCCCTTGAGGAAGTTTGCATACAACAAGGGAGTTGTATTGGGAGTAGTATTGGGAGTAGTATATATTAGTTGCCAGAATTTTACTGCTATGTATTCTGTTCTTCTTCTGGGAGCCAGAACAGGCATAGGTAGGATTACCATGTGTCCCATTATAGCTGGGACACTCCTAGATTTCAGAGGCTAGATTTACAGTGGGCATCCTGGAAATGCAGGGGCACAGGGCACAGGCTGACTGGGAGCTGGAGCAGCACAGAGCACCTTGCAGGGAGGCAGGCAGGCAGGCACTGCTGCCTGCCCAGCATAGAGCCCCACTGCCACCAGCTTTCGAAAGCATGGGGTGGGGAAGATGGGCAGCGTCCTGGATTTCCTGGATGACATCCCAGATTTCTGGCACTTCCATATGGTCACCCTAGGTGTAGGTAACCAGGACTGAGACAACCACCAATTTTGTGGGAGCAGACTGAGACATTCTAGAGCAGGGGTGTCCAACCTTTTTGAATGTGGGGCCGGATCACGAACTTTTATCATCCAGTGGGCCAGCGAGCCATATTTAAAGACCTCAAAGGAAGTGGTATCACATCAGGAAGTGATGTCACGTGACCTTTGACACCAGTGAAGTTGCAGGGGTTGACATAGTGCTGGTTGATATGGCATGCATGCCCGGGTTGACATGGTGCTGCAGGAGCCGCTTGGCTACAACCAGGTTGACCTGGTGCTGGAGAAGCCCCAGGACCAGGCTGGGGTTGACCTGGGGCCTGCCCGGCCTGCTGGTGCCACGCCCGGGTTGACATGGTGTTGCAGGACCTGCCTGGGCAGAACCAGGTCGGCACTGGCTAGGAAAAGCAGCATGCAGCTGAAGCTGGCTTCCCATGTGCTGCTGGGGATGGGAGGAAGCCGGCCAGGTCTACACCGGCCAGCAGAAGTGGCAGCAGAACCGTGTGCTGCTCGGGACGACCAATGCAGACTCATCCAGTCCTGAGCAGCACATGAGAAGCGGCCCCCTCAGGGCCTCGTGTGCGGGCGGCCAAGCCCGGAGAGCTGCAGCGCCTGGGGGGAGACTGGCCAGGGGGAGCAGGCACCGCCTTGCTGTGGGGCAGGGCAGGGCAGTGGGGCCAGCTTGAAGTGGGCAGGTGAGGGAAGGAGGGGTTTATGGAATTAAAGAACACATTTTGGAATGATAGGTCTTTACTGTTACAACAAGAAGCAATTCAGTGTTATGTCTTAAGTGTTTGACAAAATGAGTTATCAAATGTTTCTGTTGTACGAACAGAAGGTAAGGCAAGGTCAGAGGTGTAACAACACAGCAGGGCACCCAGGGAGCTGCGACACATGGGGGCAAAAGTAGCTTTTGGTCCACTGATGTGATTGTGTGACTGTAGTGTTTTCTTTCTGCCCCTCCGTACTTCTCCAAAGTTAGCACCCAGGGCAACTGCCCCAGTTACGTTACTGGGCAAGGTGGCATCTTAGAAACTAACTGGCTTAGAGCGGCTGAACCTGACTTTACACTAACACAACTAAACAACCTCTCTATTGTACTAACTAGATAAATCTATCCAAGAGTGATACAAGTGGAGACTACAGTCCTACCAGAATTAGCTTCACTGAAGAGCATTACCATTACAAAATACAAGGTAATATTTTATGGAAATGTATATTTTGATTAGTTGATTTTCCTGAATTCACAGTAAAAAAAATAAGAAATATAATTATGCTGTAAGTAATGGGCCTGGAAACAAATGTTTCCTACATATATTGGTATTAATATAAACATGAATATTTACAACTTGAGCCAAATAGAATTCGAGATTAAAATGGGAAACAGATTATAAAATGGTCATTAGAAGTTGTAATGACCCTGCAAGCTCTTGTTCATATAAGCATTTGCTCTCATTTACTTCAGCTAAGCTTTGGTTAGTAACATAATTATTCTGAGATCAAACTTAATCTCTTATTTTGAACACATTTTTAAAAATACAATATTCTTTAAAAAGAACACCAACAATCTTTGCTTCTTTCATGCTTCATTTTCTATACCCTAAGCTAGTCCCCCAATTGCTCAGTTCACTTCAGAAGCAAGAACTCTTTACCATGCTCTGTCAGATAATACTTTGAGGAAGTAAACCTGTTCATCTTAGTTACCTCACCTTTAATAAATTTACCTTCACAGCATTCCTCAGAGCAAGTAAATACTTTTACTCGCATTTTACAGTGTTACCAGAGACACAGAGGGTATGCTTACACATTGCAATGCAGCACCTTGTGAAGACACCCGAGCTAGTGCCAGAATCAGAAGCAATATAGCTGCATCAACACAATACTTCCTCCAGGCTATTTAGGCTGCTGAGAAGCAGCTTGTAAACATAAGAAGTGTCATACTGGGTCAGACCAGCCATCCACCTAGCCCAGTATTATGTCTATGACAGTGGCAGAAATGGATTCTATAAAGCAATAGCATTGAACTGGATATCTCTACAGTGATCTATCCCCTATTCAGTATCCTCCCTGGCAGCCACCATTATTAGTTTAGAGGTGTCAGAGAAAACATCTCCAAACATTCTGTTCAATAGCCATTAGTAGATCTATCATCCATGAATTTATCCAGTTCCTTTTTGAACCTGGCTGTGCTAACTGCCTCCCACCACCTCCTGTGGCAGTGAATCCCATAACTTAACTACATGTTGCATAAAAAAGTATTTCTTTTGTTAGTTTTAAACCTGTTACTGACTAGTGTAAATGCTGCTGTACTGTTAAAGTTGATCCAAACCAAATATCAAGAGAAGTAGTTCCATAATCTTTCATTCCAACTGAAAGATTTAAAAACAAACTCTCCCTGTTTTGATGGAGTAACTTCAATGGAAGTTTTAGTGTAGATTCAGCACTGTTGTCCTCAACACTAATAAAAAGAGCAGGTGTAGCTTACTCCAGTACTCCCTGTGTGACTGCCATTAATGCAGCTGTACCAATGGTGGAACATTTTATTAAGAAGTAAAGTGTGAATACCACAAGAGTATTGTTTGTTCACAGCTACCCACATTTGAAACTTGCTCAGCTTCCCATGTAAGAGTACAGGGACATGAACAAATTACAGAGAAGTAAACTAGGGTATGAACATAGCATGTTAACCACAGTTGCCTGGATGCACACACTTACTGCGAGGCAACTTACTGCACTTTCACTAAGGGGTAAGCTACCTTGCATTTATCATGGCAGTTGCCACAGATTCACTAACATGCTTGAAATCCCCACCCAAACTTGCTTCATGGTAACTTGTGCATCTGCCCAGATCCCAAGGCAGTATTCCATAAACACAGTAAGGTTTTTCATCTCTGGAATTTTCTTCCCATATTTATTTGTTATCTGAGAAATTCTAACCTCTCACCCCAGAATTACTTTAGAGAAAATAAGCTATTTGATCTGGTAGCTTTTAAAGTATAACTAAATCATTGTATCCATATTCTTTTCAAGATAAGGCACAATCCCAGCTCCAACCAAAACTATTTATAGACGGAAGTCCTTATAAGCAGTTAAGGGTCCCTTCAGCCAAACCTCTTAAGCTGCTGGAGAATGTCCCCACAAACTTTTTTGTTGGAACTGAAGTAAGTTGAAATAAATATTTTGATTATAAATGTATGACTTGTATTACTTAATTTTTTAAAAAAATAATGGGGCTACATTCGACTGTTTGTAGACATTGGGTGCATCTACACATGCCACTATGGCACCATTGTTACTGTGCTCATTTAATACCTCCTTTTGCAAGTACTAAAAGATGGTGCAGTAACACCCGTATTGCACCGTGCATGCCATGGATGGTTATTTTTAGGTACTTCGTCACCATAGCAATGCGCTAGAATGAAGGAACACGTCAATACGGCGATGTAGCGGCAGTGTCATGGTTTTTGCCTGCGAATGCTATGTCACCATAGTGCATTGCTATGGTAAGGTAACATAGCATCACGTGTAGATGTGCCCACTGATGAATGTGCCCATTTTCTTCATGAATTAATTGGTAAGATTGCCCCAAG